GTGTGTGTGTGTGTGTGTGTGTGTGTGTGTGTGTGTAGGGGGGGGGCTGTGGAAGTAGAACAGATATGTGGTTCTGTTTTCTAACCTTACGCACCTCAGTGCTGTTCCTCACTGCAAACACTAGTCTTTACACAAAGAGAGGGTAGCTTATAGCCTCAAAAGGACAGCAATGACTCATTCCCTCCTGATGCCCAGGAGAGTGGAAAAACACACAAGTGAAGGACCAACTGATAGGTGCAATAAGTCTGGGCCAGCCGTGGAGACCGCTTTACCAATCTGGACACACGAAACACTGTTATGGTGAAGTTAGAGTAATGCATGTTTGTTCATTGGCTTTGTGACCATCCTTTGTGTTTCCTTTTTTTTTTTCAGTCACCTGATTTTACAACTCCTGCAGTCTTTTCAGAAAGCCTTGCTCACTGTGGGCAGTAGGAGGCTTTACTAATTTGTTGCCTCTGTGTTTATGTTACATAGCTTATCCTGGTAGAAGGGTTGGGCCCAAAACGTAGATGTGCTCAAAAAAAAATCTAACGATACACTTTTATTCTAAAACAAAACAAAAGGCTGTCGTGGCAACAAACAGTCTTACAAAAACTTAGGAAAGATCTTTTGGGGATCACAAGGAACAGGAAACATACATGAATGACCACAAGTGAGGCGTTAAACCAGCAACACACTGTTGAGGTGGAAAAAAGAACTGAACGTACAGTATAGAGCTAAGGATGAATGGAAAAGGTGAAGTGGGCGTGGCAAGCTGACTGGAAAATCACAGAGATGCAAATAACTAAATGAAGGCAGGTGAATGATGGCACAAATGAACAAAAAATGATCAACATGAGTAAGCAAAATTCAGCACAAGAATCACAAAATACAAATAAAGCATAATGATGAAAAGGACAATGTAAAACACGCAAAAAAAACATCAAATATTGACCAAAGCAGATTATGACAATAACAGCTTAAAGACAGAACAAAGAAAGACAAAGCACTTCCAAGAATTATTGTGATGTCTCTAAAATGAGTCAGATGAGGGAGTAAAATACACCTCGACCAGAGGACAGAACTGAATACAGCTGGTTGAAAGGGCTGCCACTCCCTTTCAGTTGCACACATTAGGAAACATGGTTGGATAGAAAGAAAAAAAAATACAAATGGTAACTGTAGGATGATCAGCAGAAATGGAGAACAACACTGTGATAGTCATGACAACTTCATTTAAACTCATTGAAAAGTATATATGCTTTTACATCCATCTTTTTCACATTTTAATCATCCAGCTATGGTCTATATAAAGTGGAACTGCAATGCTTTGGTCTGAGTTACTCTTTCACCCTGTTTCTGAGGTGTGTCTCAGATCAACCCATTTTGAGGCTGTCTCTTTAAATCCAAATGAAGTGCTTCACACTCCACCCCGCCTCCGGGTTCCAAACCAACCCACTCCAATTTGATAGAGGGGTTTACGACCATATAGCTGCACAGAAACATTTTATTTATGAATGTATTAAAAGATTTCAAGAACAGAAAATGTGTCCATCAGTCTTACATGTTGGAGCCAGGGCAGGAGGAGAATGAAGACCACCAAATTGTAATTGGTAGGTCCAGACCTCTTTTGGCAGTTCAGTCGCAAATAATTTGGAAAAATAATAGAAAATAGAGAAAACTGAGCTAGTTGAAAAATATGGCCTAAAAGAATATAAAGATGCATGCAGCACTAAATTCTAATTTTCTGCACTCCTAGAGACTCCAAGTATACAACAAAATGTATTTAATGGCTAAAAAAGTGGATTTGGCCTGATATGTCCCCTTTAAAAATGGAGCAAAACAGATTATAATAAAAGTAGGATTTCCTGAAATGCCTATCACCCACTGTCCAGCATGTCAGCGCTTTAAACACAAGATCTGTAAGGGCTCATAGCATACATTGGGGATCACTCTCAGGTACTACCACAACAGATTTTAGCTCATTAGCTGTAAAATGGACAGTTATAGCCTTTTTGTGTTGCTTTTTGTGTGCTAAAATCCAAAAGTTAACCGTTTTGAAGTTTCACTAATAATTACTTTCTGATAGTTTTATTAATGTAGTATTTACCTAGTGGTTCAGGAGATATTTTGCTAAGATACATAAACAAACGCAGAGGTGATTAAGTTTATAATCAGCTGTAATAACTGCTGACTGTGCAGACCGTTCCAAACGTAGTGCACTTTATGCGGCTAACAGCTGAGGTGCCTTGCCATCTTCAGCTGGTTCAACCAGCCAGACTTTCTGGCGAGAATAAAAAGTACAAAAATATTTTCCCCAGTAATTACCTCCCTACGCTTCTTAATAAATTTACTATTGATTTTAAATCTTGTTTCTTGCCTTGAAAACTTAAATGGCCTTGCCATCCCAGACTAACTGAGATACAGTTAACAGCATCTGGAGGCAACATATTAACTTTTCCAAGCCTAAAGAAACTCTACTCTACTAAACTAAGCAAACTTTGAACGATTAAATTTACATTAAAATTCATAAAATGAACTATAGTTTTGACAAAGCTGAAGTTCAAGGTTTATTTTTTTGTGTTCATTTTTTTGCAGAATGTTCACCTTTGCGGTGGCTAATGTTGGCAGCACCAGTTTGACTTTTTAGCAGCAAAAATTCAGAGAAATTGCACTGAATATAGTGACTGTGAATAAAGTGGCAAAGAAAAAGCATATAGAGATTAAAAGGGGTGCCGAGGACTGACCCTTGAGGCACACCAATAGCTCAGAGTTCAAGGATAAGTGATGGCAAAAGAGATGTGAAAGTACTAACGTCAAAACCTTAGTATCAACCCATGACTAGATGATGCAAGAGGGTCTGTAACACTCTGTTTCAGAGGTGACACTTAAATCTAAGAGAACTACAAGTGTCAGCACTCAGCAAAACATTATTTTTTTAGTTTAAAAGCTAAAACAAACCAAAGAATTATTTAAATTAAATTTAAAAAAGATTACAACAGTGTCCTAAAGTGGGATGATTGTGTCAGAGTGACATCACGAACGAGTTGTGACATGAAGTCGTGAGCACACACAGACACAACATCCACTGTTTACTTATCCTTTTACCTTGCAGCCTTTGCCTTTCTCATGCCCGCTGGTTTGTCCGCTTGCAACACAGGACGTGCACAACTCCTGGTGGTAGTACTGGCCTCCCTGCAGGCCCGCGTAGTGGCAGCAGCAGTAAGTTGAGGGGAAGTGCGTGTACCATAGGTCCTCAGCGAGCAGACACTTTGGACAGGGACAAACAAGGCCCTTCCCTTGGGCTTTCTCTACGCTCACCTTGGGGTTCCTCATCCATCTTCGGACCTGTGCCGGGAAAGAGGTGACGGTGACTTTGAGGACAAAAGTTGAAATGGTTTCACTTCTACTTCTCCTCATCTCTAGTCCCGTGTTCTTAGAGTATTCACCGCACAGTGTACACAAAGTGTCAGCCAGACCAGCTGCAGTGTTTAATCAAGGACGGAGCAGTTTGTCCCGCTATTCCAGACTGCATGTCAGTTCAAGAGGGTCACACAAACACACTTAAAGGGCCAATATTATGTGTTTCTAAGGCATACATTTAAATACTATGCCATAATAAAGTATCTCTGCCACCTTTAGCTGTTATTAAAATGCTGTTTTTTATGTTTAAATAAAAAATAAAATTATCTTCTCATCACTTCCTCTT